CCGTATATAAAATCCGTACATAATCCCGAATACAACCCCTGATGTAAGCCTAAAAGCCCGACACCCTAAACCCTATGTACCCCAAACCCTAATTCCTAAACCCTAAACCCTCAACCCCAAACCCTGAATCCTAAATCCTAAACCTTGAATCCTAAATCCTAAACCCTAACAACCCTAAGCAAGGTGAGTTGCTGCCTCAGGCAGCGCGGGCGGCAGCAGCGAACTCAGGTTTGGCCCGGGGAAGGAGTAAGGTGCCTGAATCCGGGAATTCTCAAATACATGGGCTTAAAGGGGTTGTGCAGGGATATATAGTATACAGGGTTTATGTAGGGATATATGAAGGCTATATAAAGATATACACGTAGGATTTAGGGCTTAGTGGCCTGAATAATTGCTACTACTGTAGAATCAAATGGAGGATGAGATGGAAACTTGGCTACGAGTGAGATTTATCAGGATTGTAATGTAGGGAAGACGAGACAATTAATGATATGAGTCTGAGGTCTGTTTGCGGCACCCTATTCCATAGGAAACAAGGAATCCAGCACGATAATAGCTATTTAAGCCTCTACATTATTCTGAGAAGTCGGGTATTCAGCTTATCATTCAAGGATAACTATGGTCGCACAACTCAGGTTGTTTGGATTTGCGACGGTGAGATGCGAAGGAGCTGTGGCCGCAGGCAGTTCTCGCCGCCACCAATATGAAACATACCTCATACTAGTATAATATGTCCTGCAATAGCCTGAATTGTTTTGGTGGGATGTGTTATTAATCTCAGGGCATAGTAGGGTGTTGAACGCTGAGCCCCAGCCATGTTACCGGGCTTCAGAACCAAGAGCTCTGAGGTTTGAGTGGTTAGGGGTCAGGGATTAGACAAGGACACTGGTTGGCTCGCGAGACCTGGCCCTGAACTCTACCGATATGATCCTTACCAGGGCAAACTGAAACGTGGCTGAGGTCTGCAGTCCAGCTAACTCCTTTGAAAACAACAGCCCATGAACAAGCATCTCTATATCCGAGAAGTTCACGCTTTGAACTGAACCTCAAAGCACCATCAATCTCAGGGCCACTATCCCCAGGAATCTAAATATCTCCTCTTACACTCGCAAAGCCTCAACTCAGCATCAACATGGACCCTTATAGCTTATGAGGATTAATATGGGGACATCCTAGGGATATAGGGGTTATATAATGACTATATGAGGGTTATATATGGTAATGGCATCGCTGAGCCCTTAGATCTTGCACAGCTATCGCCTGCTGCACCTCCGGGCCACGCAGGAAGGCGCTGGGAAGCGAAGGCCCCTGTGCGGGGTGAAAGCTTCATGACCCCCTCACCCTAATATGAACACCCCCGACCCCCCTAATATTAAATATTTTCGTTGTGGTATACTAAAATATATTGGGGAACAGGGAATTAAGGTTTGAATGTAGGGGTAGGGGATGAAGAGGAGTGGTTTTGCTTCTTTGGGCTTCGGGTCTGGCACTGAAGGTTGAATGTGGAGGGTTTAGGGTGTTTGTGCTTAAGGTGTAGCTCATTCTTAAACGCAAAATACAGGAATATCATCTAACTCTGGCTTGATGAATGTTTTATCCCTATTTCAAATACTACAAATAAGGAGTCTTTCCCTAGAGCTTCAGAGTTTTCTGGTGGAGCGTGTGGAGTTTCAGCAGATCTGCTGGGCGCTGATGCAACCATCTGATAAAACTAGGACCTAGGAACAACAGCTCAACAGCTTGATTGCGCCTACTTCCCGCAGATGTCGAAAACAAACATCGGGCCCCCAAGGACCCGTATCACGCGCATTTACTGAAATCCGCGTACACGAAGGGGGTGGTGTTGATGTTCAGGGTTCCTGGAAATATCGAACCTACGCTCCTTTGCGAGGATGCCAATCAGAACTACAAAAAGGATCACGTCCTCCAGGCCCTGGCCTCCTTAAGCAAGAAGCTAGCCGGAACCCACAAACCCACAACCCTAAAGCCTGACACCCAACGCTCTGAGGGTCGTAAAGCCAGAAGGCTTGGTGTCTAGGTTTTAGGGTGTTGGGTTTATGGTTCCAGTTTTAGGTTGCTAGGGTGAGGGTGATGGTTTAGGGTTTACCTGCTTTTCTGAAACACTGGCTCAGGCTTGACTCATGGCAAATAAAGCTGGACTGTTGAATCGCCTTAGTTCTCTGTCGCACCTCGGGGCCACGCGGAGCGCCGAAAAAAGAGCTGGGCGGCGGTGGGCCCTGCACAGTTGGTAGCAAGATCTGGCTCAGCTAGAGCTTTAGGGATGCACTCTTAAGGGGCTTAAGGATCCAGGGTTGGCTTAAGCACTGAGGGCCTAAACCGTTGGCGAGCTCCAGACTTCTCGAACTGGAGCTGCAAAGATTTAGATTTCGGGAGCGAGTAAAAGCACGTGCCGATTGGGAGATTGAATGCAAAGGTCCGACAAGAGAGGACGTGATGGCTGGAGCATCCAATACATGCTGTAACAGAAGCTCTGGAGCCGCATGATGCGTGAGGCGTAGGAGCTGCGATCCCAATATTTCGGGTCGGGTAGCCTCAAAGTAGCTAGAACTTGGGAACGCTCTTGGGGAGAACTTGCTGTTCTGAGATGCACTGCGGAAGCACTGTTGCTTTGAGGGCGCTGACCTGCGTTGGGCTAGCAGAGCTTGTGGTTTCAACGATGGAAGAACATAAGGGATTTGTATGGCGAAATGTAGGAATGATGGAAAATACTAATTGATGCAGAATTCGACATCATCAGCTGTATGCATTTCCCACCACCCCGCCCCCCGCAGAATATGTGGACTACTTGAAGAGGGGGGGAGGGGGGGCGGCCCAGGGTTTGGGGCAGTAGATTTCGAGTGGAATGGCAATCCCCATAAGGTTCTGGAGAAAGACCAGTTCTTCAAAAGCCTTCAAGAAACTTCAGATTCAAGACTGACAGGCACAACACTCTGTATGTACACCGCACATGCACTCTTCTGCAGATCATGTGTATGGATATTCTTAGCTACAAGCATTTATAGATTTGGATATGGTAAACTAGAGGGTTACGTGGGTCGCTGCTAAATGTGAAAAAGGTTCTTGCTCCCGCCCTAGCCACTGCCACCACTACGACGGCCATGACTGCCGCTGCAAATCCTCCTCCTCCTGCTGTTGCTTCTGCTGCTCCCTGCGACTACGTCAACGGAAAGACCGCCAGAAAACCTGGGTTGCTGTTAAGGAACTTGAATTAAGTTACCATAATGGGTATATATAGTAAACAATAGGGTTTCCCCAATATAGTAACTTAAATTAAGTTCCTTAACAGCAACCCAGAAACAGCACTGCCCAAGCGCGCCTGAGCTTGAGGGATGCTCCGGTCAACAGCCGGTGCCCTGCTGCTGCTTTTTGGGGGGGAGGGGGAGGGGGCGATAGAGATTCAAAAGTGTGCGAGAATTCAGCGTTGAGGATTGGAATTTGTAGGGATTAGGGTTGTGGGAGCAAGCATGGTAGGGCATCCTCGTTAGCATATTGCTAAAACGATTATGATAATTCCTGTTACGAGTAAATTATTATTGCCATTATTGTTACTATTGCTAATACCATTGTGATTAGTATTGCTGCTACCATTACTATTACTATGACATTGCCCGGATGCAAAATCATGGCTCTTGGAACCCGTCTTTTGCTGGTTGTGAGTAGGGCACGGAATATCGATCACCCCCTACATAATTCACAGAATAATAGTTTCCAGATTTTTCCCCCTTCCCTTTTTTTCCTGCTCACAATCTGCAAGTCCTTCCCACAAACCTGCTTTCTCAACGGCATCCTTCAGGCTGGATGGTTCGTGCTATCCTACCTAGACACAACTTTGCGGCTTCTCTGAAAGGGTTTAAGTTGGGAAACATTGGAAGTTCTAAAAGTACTTGGAGTATCTGGGAACTACAGGGGTACCAATACTCTGCATACTTATACTGCAGAAGGCATCTGCAAACCATCCGCTTCCCTGCTAGAAGCACAGCAAGTGGGTCTGACAATCGAGACGAAGCACCCTGAACGGCCCGGTCAAGGTCTGGACACAACTTCTTCAATCAAGCCCACTGAACCACCCTATTCTGGGTTGCTGTTAAGGAACTAAATTTAAGTTACTATATTGGGGAAACCCTATTATTTACTATAATTATATACTCATTATGGTAACTTAATTCAAGTTCCTTAACAGCGACCCAGTATTTCATGATGCCCTGGAAGCTTACAACGAAGCCCTTTCAGAAGGGATGAGGATTGCTGATGTCAGCAGGCCGTCATGCGGCGAGCCTGGCTTGTGGTGGCTCCATGCCCGCCTGCAACAAAAAATGAAATAGGGCCTGACTAGAGCAAGCGCCTGCCCTACAGTCAAACGCGCCCTCCGCTTAATGCAGAATCATCACTGTCTCCATACGAGGAATGTTCACTATCCAGATGAATTGCGCCTTAGGTATTTGCGTCTTCAGCTTACAACATTTGGATGTATTTGGATAAGTGGTTTTCGGCACTGCGCTAGAGAGCTTGGAATGAGTTGCAGCTTGCTGGCTCAAAATGGTTCCATGCTGGAGACTATCAACTAGTCAGCACGCTATACTGAATGCACGTGCTGGGTTTATAACGCAGAGGCTGCGGCTTACCATTCGCCACAATTGTTAAATTAAAGCAGCTCAAGCCACTGCAGTGGGGCGGCAAAAGTAAAAAATCTGGCTTTCCCGCCCCTTCTGGAGCTCATGGAATAGCAAAACCGAAACGAGTCGCGTAGCCCTGGCACGTCGCAAGAATTCCAAGAAAAAACGCACCTCCAATCTTACGCCCTTGCAATCACCTTCGGCTTGAATGAAGGAAACCAAATCTGCTCGAAAACTTGGATGCACGACCTGAGTCTCCCAACGCTTCGCGGTGAACCCTGAAGGCAGGTTACCCTGCGACTTACTCTGCATTCCCAAGTTGTTCAAGAGAGCGCCAGCCGTTACGCTGACGTCGTGTGGGTCGGCCTCTAGCGCGCAGTTCTTCTCACACTGCTCGAAATACCTCATCAAAGCTGGAAGCTGGTGTACAAAGTTGAAGTGGGGGTTGCTGGCAGTAGCTGTTAAACGTACACGAGTTCTACCAGAGTAAGCAGCCTGCGCAACAGCTGTGAAGAAGGGAGGGCCCCATCTGCAGGGTCCTTACAGAGTAGCCCCTTGGGGTCGCTTATGATACTGACTATGGCGACTATGGTGTCCACTTCAAGGCCACGCATGTTACTTCATATTAATATAGAGGCCAAAGTAATTACCAGTATTGTGGTGGTGGTGGTGGATGCCTTGTGAAGTTATAGTATAGGGTGCCTCACACTGACATCAAAATGATGTATGGGGAACTATTGCGGCCCCTACGGTTTGGAGATGCTTGAGGCCCAGGCTCCGCACAGTCACGGTAGTACTTCATCCATTCAGCGTACTGCCTGGCAAGGCATCCAAACTTGCAGGCCCAAGGAAGAAAAGGTGGAGGAGGCAGCGGATGAATAATCATGCGAAAGATGAAACCAGTGGCCAGCTAATAGCTAGCCCGGCAGCTACTACCACCATCAGCAGCCCTCCAAACCTCAATCCCCAAACCCTACCAGACCCTACACCTTAAATCCTGAACCGCAAACCCTAAACCTTAAACCCGAAACTCCTAAACATCCTAACCACTATCTCAGGCAAGCCCGCCAGGGACCACTCGGCACTCAGAGGCTCAGTCTCCTCCTGCTGCGCCGCTTCCTCCTCTTCCGCATCTTCATCCTGAAGTTGACAAACTTATTATTTTACCACCAATACTATTACTATTAGTACTACTAATATATACTAATATTAATATTATTATTACAATTATCTGGGGCTTGGGCTGCAGGATTTTGGACTTTTAGGGCTTGAGGATTTGGGGTTTTGGGTGGCTTTAGGACCCGGGATCCCCAGGGCCCAAGGATCCGGATTTGAGATGCGAATGGGTGACGCAATGAGGCTTGTAAAAAAACACCTAATTCCTACCACGTGTTGAAGTATTTGAGGACCTAAGGATGAACTTTAGCCTCAAAAAGCTGACTAAGGCTCAAGGCCCGTCAAATGGTTCCTGTCGGCTTTGTAGGCCTCCTGGAAGAACTCTGATTCCTGAAGGGTTCGTCACAAATACGGACTTGGTTAATAGGCAACTTCCCTTCCCAAAAAGCTTCAACCCGAAACCTGAAAGATAATTTAGAAGAGACTGCTGTCCTTGTTGGTGAGGGTTTCGTGGGATTCGATGCTAAGTTGAACACGTTTTCCTAGCTGGGGATGACAAGCCCTGAGCCCTCACCTTTGGGAGTTTAGGGTTTAGGGCTTCTACGCTTTTAGGATTACGGCTCTTAAGGTTTAGGATTTAAGGCCCCAAACGCAAACTTCGGACTTCAGCCCCCTGGCTGTAGCTCAAACTATGTTGGGAATTTTCTTTTCGTACTGACGACTGAAAAACCCGTTCCGGCTCAAATTTGGACTTCTTATCGTCCCAATCTCCCAGGACAACTTGAGTGTTGTCGAAGTACTGCGTAAGCTGATCATCGTTAAGCTGTTAATCAATACTGGGGTTGGGTACACATAAACATAAACTGCTGTTTGTTACTGTTAAACAATGCAGACATGGGATCACAAACAGCGAAACGAGGGACCTCCTCTGCCACAGCCGCCTCCGCCGCAGGCGCTGCGGACGCAAAGGGCGGTGGCACCGGTCCCCGTCTGACATGGGTTTAGCTTAACGGATTTCCCCCAAATTCCCGGAATCATGGCAGGATCCAAAGTTTCAGCTGGCTGTTAGGATTGTAGATGATACCAGGAAATGGAATTTCCAGCTCTGGTGGGATCTAGCCCCCTGTTTGGCTTGTTTATCAGCAACACTGCCCCGGCTTGGAAGCAAAGCTACCATTTAAATGTCAGAATGCGTGATGTCTCGGGGCCGTGCTGTATGAGAACGAAAATCAGAGAATCAAACAATGGCATCGCCGAATTTGTCAGCAATAGGTGACCGCGAGTTCCAAAATGTCCGTTATTGCTGCATGATAAACCTTCTCTAGGGGGACAAATCCACACCTCATCCTCCGAAAATGTGAAACTCATCTGCGAAACTCATCCGTCGCCCGCCGAAATAAGAAGACGCGTGTAAAGAGAAGATGAGAAGACGAGACGATGATCCGCGACGAAATGAGGAGCACATTGCGCGAGTGCGGAGCAAAACACTGTTTTTCCTTCTTAAGCAATCGCCCCAGCACAATTACGCGATCGACGTGGGAGATGCGTCTAGTTAGACCTTGCTGGGGATAAATTGCCGTCCGGCGAGAGGTGGTACATACACACACGTACATACATACATACATACATACATACATACATACATACATACCGACGTTGACGCAGGCTCCAGCACCGCGATCGACGTGGGAGATGCGTCTGGCTAGGCCTTGCTGGTATATGTATGTATGTATATTGACAAGGATGTCTACGATTCCTCCCCATGTCCACGTCACAAGCAGGCGCGGAGTCCACACCCTGCACAGCTAGGGTTAGAGCCGGTAATGTAGACCCGTGACTAAGAAACCTCATCCCTTTAATAGGGATTATAATGAGGATCCTAATTTTAAGGGCCGTAAAATCAGGTTTTTGAATCACGGGTCTACGTTAGCGCCTTCGAGCACAGCTTTCCCTCCCATTGTGACACTGACTTGCCACACTGCTAGGATGCACGAAAGCCCGCAACAAGGCTCTTTGGGCTCATGCTTCTTGTGGAAAAGAAGGATTTGGGGTTCCAAGGAGTGCAGCACGACACGACCCTTTTTTTTGGAGCTTGCTCGCAGCACGCAAGCAGGGAGAGCCTGGGGCCTAGGATTTAGAGCGGGCATTGCGCTATCAGCCTGTTCAACTCACAAAGCGGCAACTGCCGACTCGAGGCAGCGGACGGCGAACATTTTCTTCCTCCCCAACTCCAGATCCTCACGGCACTGAAGAATCTGCACGGCGGTCCGGTCCCTGTATAAAGCCAGCCGGCTACGTCCACAAAGATGCATCAGCCCACGCTGCGCACCGGGGCCTACCAAGGCCGGACTTGCGCAGTGATCCCGCAACTGGTATCTAATGAGCAGATGTTGGATATTCTTGGCCGTGAGACACCCAAAACATCGGCGAACAAGCACAACCGCTGGCAGTCCTTGCTTCTCGTGATTCAGGGCTGTACGCACTCGGTTGCAGTGGGCGAAGACCCTGCAAAGGTAGGCCCTGCCCTTCCACTTGCTTTGCAGGCGCACCTTGTTGCGCTCACTCATCTTGAGAAATGGTGTCAGCATCTCCGCTGGCTCTGCGGCAGCAGATCCCGGACCCCCGTGGGCACTTGCTTGTCCACTTCCACAAGCAGTTCCCTTACCAAGCTCAGGCCGCTGGACCTTGCTAAGATGATCGCAGCCAGGCTTCGGACGTCGGAGGACTCCAGCGCCAAGCGCTGCATCACCTTGTCTGCCGCTAGTGTCGTGCCGGCCGATTTTGGTGGCCAACAGTTGTCCCAAGTTTACACGGACATTGCGGACCCTGTCACTGCCCAGTTCACGCCAGCCCACCACGCTGGATGCCAAGAGCACTGTCTCGGGCTGTGGCACACCCAGGTCAACTAGCAACGCGGGGTGGGACCGCTGCCCGGCAGCTGCCTCCCACGCCTGACGCTCTGTCTGCTTCCTTCTGTAGTGATGGTTGTGGAAACGGCGCAGCACCAACGACCTCACAACGGGACGCAAACCTCCAGATTTGGTCTGAAGCACTGACAAATCCCTCGCGGGCGTTTGCGGCAGTCTTCTTGGCAGAACCTCAGCTTGGCCTGCGTCCCTCCGCTTTCTTTTAGGAGCTATCAGGAGGCTCAGAGGTTTTAATTTTGCCACAGTTGCAAGAATTTGAGGGTGTTTGCTACCTTCCATATGGGGCCCAGAGATATATAAGTGCCCACATATTGGAGGCCCGCAGTCCGTTGTTTTGGACGAAATTGTCAGGATGCTCCACAGGTGAGCGCAATGTTGGGTGAAGAAACGATGAAATTTTGAGGATGCTCCCCACGGGAGCTCAATCTTATTCAACAATTCAGTATGCGCCGCACGGGAGCGCAATTTTGAATGAAAAATCGATAAAAAAATTGAGGATGCTCCGCACGCCAGCGGGAGCGCAATGTTCTTCAAAAATTTCAGGATGCTCCGCGCGGGACCGCAATTTTCTTCGAACTTTTCAGGATGCTCCGCACTGGAGCGCGATTTTGAGCGAACAAGTCGGCGGATTTTTGAGGATGCTCCGCACGGGAGCGCAGTTTTTGATTAAAATCATCAAAACTTTCCGAAAGCTCCGCACGGGAGCGCAATTTTGAACAAAAATCAGCTAAATTTTGAAGATGCTCTGCACGGGATCGAAATTTCGGATGAAAAATCGTCCAAAAGACCAAATTCTCCGCGCGGAAGTGCAAACTTAGGATAAGCAAAATCGGCGGTGTTGAGGATGTCCCGCACGGGAGCGCGATTCTTGAAAATCGGGGCGCGTCCAATTCGCACGCAGGTCAGTCTAGAAGACTAATTAAAAAGGTCGAGGGAAACAATTTGTGAATAAAATCAGCGGAATTTTGAGGATGCTTGGGAGCGCAATTTCGGATGAAAAATCGTCCAAAAAGTCCAAATGCTCCGCGCAGGAGCGCAAATTCAGGATAAGCAAAATTGGCAATTTTGAGGATGCTGCGCGCGGGATCGTGATCTTTGAAAATCTGGGCGCGTCCAATTCGCGAGCAGGTCGGTCTAGAAGATTTATTTTGAAGAGGAGGGAGCTAATTTTGAGAAAGTAGAGCGATATAAAACGATGAAATTTCGAGGATGCTCGGTGCGGGAACGCGATTTTTGAGCGAAAAAGGGTACGTCCAAAATGTTTGCGCGACGGAAGAAGAGCCGCGAGTGTCGGCGGGCGACGGCGCATCTAACAACAAGAACCCCACAATGAATGTGGGGAATAAGCAAGAAATGCATGTACTGTGTGTGCCCGTAACGAGACAGGCTGCCATTTTTCTGGACCACCCTTGTTGCGACAGCCCCACATTTCATTGAACAAGCCTTCCACCTTGAAGCCTTGGTCTAGGGTTCAGGTATTAGGTTTTTTTTACGGTTGAGTGAAAACCTCAAGCCCTTCAAAAAGCAAACCTTGAGCTCTTAATGCAACCCCCGCAGCCTTAGAATGTCAACTTCGCGAAAACCCTAGGCTCTACACCAGATCTAAACAACATCCCCGAAAGCTTTCAAAAGTGTATATACAAAGACATATATATGTTCTACAAAAAGCCCCGCATTAATAAAATCGTATGCGAGCGAAGTAGAACCGAAACATCAGCAGCGTCCGTGCCGAAGGCTAAAACCACCAAAAAATTGTACGGATTCCGCAGTCGTTTGGCATTCACAAGGATAACCTGACCTATGACGGTGCGCTAACTTCACCCCCCTCGCAACCCCCAGCCTAAAACTGGGTTGCTGTCAAGGAACTTCGTTAAGTTACTATATTGGGGAAACCATATTAACTACATATATATATATATGGATATATATATATACCCATATGGTAACTTAATTTTAAGCTCCCTAAAAGCAATCCAGAAAATTCTAGGGCCGTGGCGGGGCTGAAGCCACTGACGGCGTTTTCGCAGGAAGCACCTGATAGGCTGTGCTTCAATAGCTGGGAAATAGGAAGCCGAGTAAATCCTACGCGAAATTCTGAACTCTAAAGTCTAAAGATGCCAATGAAACCAACTACCTTACCAAAATCAATACTACCCCGTTTCCATTTCATTTTCCATGTTCATTTCCATTTGACTCTCCATTATAAGGGGATAAGATCCCAATATAACCCCAACCCCCACAAAACCTAAACCCTAAACCCTAGAACCTAAACCCTAAAACCTAAACCCTAAACCCCAAAACCTAAACCATCCCTGGCTCAACCCTATGGTTTAGGGTTTGGGGTTAGAGTTTAGATATACTGCCTCAAACTAACATGAAACCCAAACTGGACTGTTCAATGACTATCGTGGTTGAAGAAAGGGCTCACAGAGGCTCCATGCTACCCTAAATCAAATACATCCCTTCATATCCAGCCGATGTAACCCTACATCTATAGTTCCATTGGATTTTCGGCTTGGTTCTGTATGGCTGGGTTAGCATTACCTGTTAAGGTCTTTGCTGAAGTAAAGCTGCGCGGTGAGACATGTTGTAGTTTCCATTTTCTTGGTCACTCCTCTATATAGCCCTATATAGGGCTGGTCTCCATGTCATATTCCATCTTCTTTTCCATTTGATTCTCGATTATCCTCTAAAGCCAATCCCTAAACCTCAATCACCCATATACCACCCCCCCATAGCCCTATATAGTCCCCCACATCCCCTATATAACACCATAAAACTTGTATATACCCCTTCACAAGGTAGAACCCTATTATCCCTATATAAACCCTAATATAACCCCTATATAACCCCTATATATCCCTTTAAAGGAACCTAGGGTTTCCATTTTCTTTTCCATTATCCCTACTGCTGAAGTTCAAGGCTTGGCCTCGGGTATTCGCACCGCGGTGGCGGCGGCGGCTCGCCGCTGCTTTGGCGCAGCACGGGGATGGCGATCTGCGACCTGAACAGGTTCAACAGCAAAAGCAGTAGCAGTAGTAATAGCAACAGTAGGAAGATTAAGAATAATAGCAGTACTAATAGTAAGAACAGAAATAATAGCACTAGTGGTCATAGCAAGTGGGGGGGGGCATTCTGAACCTGTCATGGGCCCTTTTTTAGAAGTACGGTTGGTTCCCTTCTGGCTCGCATCCTTTGAAGGTTGTGCTCGGGCACACTTATCGAGTGAAAGCCTTGAACATCCCATAGAGGATCAGCTTCATGGGGCTCCTTATCAAAGAGACTGTTCTTTGCCCAGAGCCAAAACTCCTATGAGGACCTACTACATACACGAACCCCAACCACCCCACCAAATAACACCTGAGCCCCTTTAAAACCGAGTCCTAAAAAGCGAGATCCCCAAACATCCTCAGTCCTCCACCCTGACAAACCCTGAACCCGAAAACCCAGGCCTTTAAAAAAAGAAACGTCAATTTTGGGAAATGCCCTTAACCCCAAATCTTGAGGTTCTGGATCTCTAGCCTAATTGCAGCCACAGCCACAGCTGATATACTGTATGGTGACTGTATGGCTTTTCAATGTCTTTTGGTCAACTTACAGAATGCCTAACATGCTTCAAGTCACATGGCCCAAAGCCTGAACCCTAAACCTCGGATCCGTAAGAAGTTAGCGATCGCAAAACACTGCGCAAACCGCTGGAAGACCAACAAAGCCCGAAACAACAGCATCCCAAGATCACCTTTCGCCACTAACATCACCAAACCCTTCATGGGGCCTTGGGTCCCTGTCCTATCATACTGTATTCTACTAAGCTATACTACACTTTACTAGGCTATGGTTATATCGTATTCGAAAAATGACCTCCTCAGAAGGCTTCGCTTTGGGCTTCGCTTGCCGTGCTGCGCCAGCAGGCTGTGCCTCACAAGGCCTTGTCCGCCCAACCATGCAGAATTTCAGAAGTTGGTTGAAGGGGCCGAAGCAATGTGCAAACTAGGCAGAACTAAGGAGCTAGGGCCACAATCAAATTTTGCCCAGAGCAAGCCCATTTTACCTTCCACGCGCTTTGATAGCCCCAGTAGGTTCCCCCTTACTTAACCTTGATTAGCCCCATTTAATCTTAATGAAGGTGGAACTTGGAAGGGGTAGTATGAGGGCGTAGTAGGGGAACCTAGAATAATGGCTAATGACTTGGAAGGTCTTTTGCGGCTGCGACCTCAGTGCGCTTGGTCCAACTGCATTTTTCTGAAAGGAAGTGACGTGCCATCCCTTATCTTCGGTGATCAACAAATCACCAGAACTGTGGACAATGCTTTGACCATCTTCCACTAACAGTGCTGACCTTCTGACAGGTGCGATCAACATCAAAAACGAACTAATGCAAACGTGAGCGCTGCCGTGAACGGTAGTCATAGCACTGACAGTAGTAAGAGCAGCAGCAGCAGCAGCAGCAGCAGAAACAAGTGGCAGGAGGCGGAGGAGGAGAAGGACGAGGCCCTAAAAAGGAACAACGTCGCGAGCAGGAGTCGGGATGATCCCGGACTCTATCATGCACCAAGAAATGTCCAGAAACAACTACAGACAACGAGAAGATCGAGGGGTTGAATGTGTGTAAGATGTCAGGTTGGGACATAATAAGATTGGGGCATTCTGCAATTTGGAACTGAGACTTCCAGGCTCGCAGCTGGGCTTAGGGCTTAGGGCTTCGGGCTCAGGCCTTGTCAGAAAACATGGCTCCGCAGGGTGTCAATTCAACCGCTATCAGCTAAGGGATGCATAAGAGATCGGTTCCAAAAATGCTTCCGAAGAACCCGTTGGTGGATGAAGAATTCACTGGAATTATTCTGGACATTGTGTAAATGCAAATGGGCCGTCACAACAAGAAAAAAAAGAACAAGAGCAACAACATCAATTCCAAGAAGAAATTGTAGTTCACACAGGAATCCGCACTGCGCACTCCCCCAGACCTTGAGCACCCGATTTCTGACCCCTGCCCATAGGGATTATAGGGTATATATTGGGGCTGTATAAGGATGACGGAAAATAAAATGGAAACTACTATAGCATAATAGAATATATATTGGGGTTATACAGAGCATTCTGGTTCCCCCGCAGATGTTTAAGTAAATCTTCCTGACCTTACCTTGTGGCCACTTATTGAAAGCAGCACGAGAGGCCTTGGCTGTGTGCCAGGAAGGCGGTCAGCAAAGTCTTTCAGTGGTCGGGACTCTCCTGTGAGCAGCCACCAGGTTGCGAGATGTTCGATTTTGTGTTCTCAGGGTAGGGGTGTCAAGGTGTGACTTACGCAGGGTGCTTGAGATTTAGGGCTTTAGGGGGATCTAGTATATAGGGTTCTGCAGTCGAAGGTCGGTCATGGACCAGGATTTCTTTTCAGATTAGATTTGCTTGGCCTCGCGGAAGGGGACACTCAGAAACAACCGGGACTGGACGCTTCAAAGGTCGCCTCGCCCTCAAGCGCGAAGGAGATCGGGGCAGACCCCCGAAGACAGCGCCAACAGGCCAATCGGAAGGGTCGGGGGTGGCTGCAGGAGGCCAGTAGCAATGGCCTACCAAGGAGAAGGATATGGCGCCTTGTATGCAGCACGTTTCGTTGTGCTTGGGTCTGCGCAGGTAGCTTTGCAGGCTGCTGAGGCAAAATACACTTAGATCCTAGCTGCATCTTCAGCATATCCACCAAGGCAAGCACCAATGGGTTGCCCAGGCTGCTGAGGCAAAATACACTCAGATCCTAGCTGCATCTTCAGCATATCCACCAAGGCAAGCACCAATGGGTTGCTGTAGGACCGATTACTTCTGTAGAGCTCTGGGTGTAAAAGCCTATCACATTTGTTCGGCCATCATCATCATCATCATCATCATCATCATCAAAAGGCGCATAGTCGAAGGCTCTGAGCGAAGCGTACGCAATTATCAAACTTTTATTAAAGCCTCACGCGTGAAGTACTAGTAGCAGCCAAATGAACTGAGTTTCAGAAGCTTCGGCAAGATGCAGTAGATTCTAGCGGCACGTGGTGCCAGTGCAAACAATGGCAGCCAGACAGTGGCGGTGTGTTGCGGTTCAGCAACTGTGCTGAGAATATCTCAGCAGATCGAAATGCGTGGTGGTTGCGGCAGTAATCATTGCAAGAAGTCACCTCATACCCACCGAAACTTCTGAAGCAACCCTAAGCTCCCAAACTCCTAAAAGCCTGGAGTTGTAAACTGCACACCCGCACACCTGACAACCTGAGACCCAAGTGAGAAGCCTAAAGGCAGAGCTCATGCACAGAACCCACAGACATGGCCAGTGCAGATGACAGCCTGTGCTGTCATGGTAGGCAGCGAAGCTGTCAATCAGCTCCTTGTAGCTCCACCTTCAGACGTCTGCAGCTAGGATTACAAAGCTTTTCTGGAGAATCTACCTGTCAATCGGTCACGCCTCAAGGTGTTGGGTCCGGTGCGCCCTAATTAAACCCTAAACTTCAAATAGAAGAACCCTTCCCCTAGCCCAATATATACCCTATTATACTATAGTAGTTTCCATTTTTTCCATTATCCCAATATAACCCCAATAGATCCCAGGGCTCCAGAGTTGCAACACTTGGGACATGTGATTTCTCTCTTTCAAAGCCAAGGCTGGCCGACCCCTAAACCCTCACCCTAGACCCTAAACCCGAAACCCTAAAAGCTCGGATGGTAAAACAACTCTCTGGACAAATCAACCCAGAAGACTATGAAGCCCTGGAGGTCTTTAAAATTTAGGGTTTAGGGTTTAGGGCGATGCTTGCTGTTCCGCATGATTGTGTTTTCTGACTGGGGCCCCTTCGTAAAACTTTCCGTAGAACTCTGAGAATTTGGCTTACGTCAGGCCATTAGGGTGCAAGAGCCGAGCCTGTATGCACGTCATCTGAAGATTGTGAAGAGGGATGAAAGTACCTCCAACCTGACCCTAATACGCTGAACATGTAATCTGGTGCCCTGTACAGTACTATACACTACGTACGGCAGTAGATTTGTGTAGACCTCATCCCTAGACCGTGCGCCAGCCACATGGAGAGCCCAACGTCACACTGAGGTCCATACTGCACAGGGTCCACTGAATCCGCCATGGCTTCGGGAGGGGACAGGTTAAGGGTTCAGGGTTCAGCTGGGCTTCGGTTTCGGGCTTGTGCGGCTAGGTGAGCTGATGGTATCTGGCGTGACAACTTCAGGATGCTTGCAGCTTAGTGCGGAGGACTTCATGTTCCCTTCGTATTTGCCTGTGGGCCCCAAGATCCAAAGGGTAGCATCTTGGGATGGAGAAACCACAATTCAGGTCAAAGCGTATCCAAGCTTTGGCATGCAGGGGTCAGTGAAGATCCGTGCAGCTCAACGTGTGTGATGTTGGTCTTGGGGAGGCTACGCTTTTCTCAAGGAGTATGCTGCGCATGAAAGGGTTTTAGGGTAAAGTGTTTGTCAAAATCGTGAGGCGCTTCAAGTCGCGCATTTCAGGTTTGAGATGTCAAGACTGCGACGGTCAACAGAGCGACAACCTCGAGCTCGTAACATAACCACGTCAAACCTTGCCTAAGTTGGGTTCACATCAACATGAAGTTCTAGAGACTTAGCAGGCAAAAGCTGTGCGAGCTCCACTCTCCCGCCCTCATGACTTGAAAGATCCAGACACAAATTGTCAACCCTCAAATTGCGATGACGTTTCTTGTCTCGCACAATGGTCCTTGAATTGAGCGCGTGGGTCAGCTCTTGTTTAAGGAACTCTGCAAGTGCGAGTTGTTTGTCAGATGTAATGAGTGCAGAAATTGGCCCTGTGTTGAGGCTTTGGGTTGGCTACTGCAAGCAGGATGTTGTAGGTCTACATGGGAGTTATAGAGAGCTTATAGGAGCCTTAGGGATATTACCAACATCATGCTGAGGTCTACTTGAGGTACCCCCTTGCGTTTATCATATTAAAACAAGGAACCTGGGACCATAACATTGGAAATTATTATGGCTATTTGAAGTACCCTA